GCTGAGTGGATTTGTTTTGGGTATTTTTAATTGGGCAGTTTTCCCCCAAGGTGTCCGTGGCAGTAAGGACGCTCACGGAGCAGGTAAAGTCAAACTCCAGCTCGGATGTGCCCGTGTAAGGATCTGAAGTGTTGCGTTGCAGGAGCATGATTCTTGTAGAGTGGTGTTCATAAATGAAGAGTAAGAAAGACGTGTAGAGATTTGTATCCAAGGGAAGGGGAAACAGCTTTATCTGAAGGACCTTTGCGCTGTTTGACACCTCTATCGAGATCCTTATAGATCTTGAGGCACGGGTTCCAGCTATCACTGGTATGGTGCCTACATAACTTAAAGGATCAGCTCGTGATTGCCAGAGAAAAATAGCTTAGAGAATCCCAAAGTATCTCATACTAATATGGGAAAAATAAACATTTAACTAAGCTTAATGGCAGCTGTCTTGCTGGAAAGTCTACAGCAAGCTTTTAGGAAGTCGTTATTTCAAAGCAAGATTTTTCACTCGAGGGGTTAGGAAAGAGCATGTTCTATTTCATCAGCTTCTCTCATCAGAATAAAGGGAGTATACAAAATTAAATGGAATAGGGTAAGGTGATCTGTTTTTAAAGCTAGAACACAGTAATAGGATCCAAGTCCGGAGGCTTCCTGCCCTCTCTGGGCAGTCAGTTTCTGTGTTTCACTGCCCTGATGGTGAAAAATTCTTTTCCTGTAGCCTGTTGGAATTTCCTTTACCGTAACCTGTCTGTTGCCTCTGATCCTTTTGCTGTGTGCCTCTGAGAAGAGCTTGCCTCTGTCCTCTCTAGAACCACCCTTTAGGTAGTTGAGGGTAGCAGTTAAATTACCCCCTAGCCTTCTGTTCGCCAGGCTGAACAGACCCAGCTCCCTCAGCTGCTTCTTGGGCATCATGTGCTCCAAATGCCAGCCCTTTTGGTTGCATTCCATTGGAATTGCTTCAGTACTCAATGACACAGCCTCCCAGAGCATCCAGGCTAGGGTGTTATGGTCTAGGTAGGTGAGAATCGTGGCTGAATCACTGAGCTCAGAGGGTAGTGTTTAATGGCTCATACTTTTACCTGAGGGCTGATTACAAGCAGAATTCCTCGGGTGTCCATTGTAGGACCTGTTCTTGTTAATGTCCTCATCTGTGACCTGGAGGAGGAGATGGAAGGTGCCTTCACTCAACTTGCAGCTGACATCAGCCAGGGTGGGACGTAGTGAATATGCTCAAGGGCAGGCCCATTCAGTGCAACGTAAACGGGTTGGAGAAATGCATCTGGGAGTCTCATGAAATTCAGCAAGGACAAAAAGCACAGCCCTAAACCTGGGAAGGCGTAACCCCTGCAGAGGTGCAGGTGCAAGTTGTTGATAAACTGGAGTGAGTTCATCAGAGGCTGCTAAGCTGGCCAGAGGGCGGGAGTGCTTGCCCTGTGAGATGAGACTGAGGGAACTGGCTTGTTTAGCTCAGAGAAGACAAGCTGGCTTTCCAGTACCTATGAGGAGGTTACTGGGAATATAGAGCCAGGCTATTTATTGAGGTGTGCAGTGGGAGAACCAGACGCAAGGGTCAAATTGAATGGGGAGGTTCTGACGTGATATAAGGAAGTAAAAATTGACTGTTAGGATAACTGAGCATTGGAAAAGGTTGCCTAGAGAATTTGTGTAGTCTCCATCACTGGAAGCTTCCAAGAACCAACTGGACAAAAATGTTCTGAGCAACCTGGTTTGAACTGGGTGTTGACCCTGCTGTAAGCAGGAGGCTTGAGTCAGGATAACCCTCCTGAGGGCCCTTCCAGCCTGAGTGATCTTGTCTTGGGGACGTTGGCCAAGATCTCTTCCTATCAAGAGACCTTGGTAGTATGTCTATTGCTACTATTTAATATACAAATTAAGTAAATGTTTAAAATTATTGCTATATAATCATGTATTTATATGTAATATATACATCTATAATTATTGTCTTTCAGATAATAGTAGTGGAGATTCTTGGTAGTCTGGTGTCAAAAGACAATTTCAGCGCGATTCATGTGCTTGCCTGTGTTAGCATTAGATGTTCTTTGCCTGCAACTTGATGCTTTTTACAGTTGCACAAAGCTGAAAATGCAGATATATTGAACTGGCTATGGAGAAAGAGCTACTCGAACTGCTTTTGGTCAGGAAGCTTCTGCAGTTGTAGTTCTAGAATGATAAAACTCCAACTCCTTTGACTACAAGGTCCAAAATGCACTGGTCTTGTCATGCAAAAGGCTGAACTGATTCAGGCTCACTTCACTAGTTCAAATTTGTTCAAAAATTCTTAACAGGATTTTCTTAACAGGAAAACTTTGTTCAGATGGGTGTTATTTTCAGTAAGTTATCCTTTGTCTCTACAAGTCTAGCTTTCTGCCAGCTGAGATACTGTCATCTTCCTGCAGCTGGCATAAAGCAGGTGTAAGGACTGTATTGTGCTTTTTAATTTGGCATAAATTTAATCACTTGCCATCTCTGATCCAGTTTGAATCACCAAATGATCTGGCACTTTGTGCCTTCAGTGTTTACGTTGACCAGTGGCTCAAGTCTTTCCTCCCTACACTTAAATGATTTCATGGTGATCCTAAAACAAACAAACAAAACAAACCCACAAATTCTTAACACCTTAATTTTGCCTTTCTGAGGTTTACAATCACCTGATTCTGCACAGGTTGACCAAGAGAGGGTGCTCAAAATCCATTCTTTACCACTAGATGGAAAACATTGCATGGTTTGCAAGTTGTGCTCAACACGTTAGTGGGAACAGTGAATTTAAATGCTAAGGAGTTTGTAAAATTCAGTTAAAAAATAAAAAATGCAAGACTATTGTCAACGTTTCAAATCTCCACTGGGGAAGAAAAAAATATAGGAGTGTGCAGATAGAAGAATATCGAAATACGCGCTGCCTTTCAGTTACAGTTAGAATATAAGATAGAGCAGTTAATTCTGTTTTCTTCTATAATTCTTAATTTTTTTATAGTTTGTAATGATGGCGTGTGATGTCAAGAAAGTGCAGGCATTTGCTTGTCTAAATTTTGAAACTGGTTTTAAAATAGTATCTTAAGCTTTTAGAATTGTTAAGTTTACTTAGCTTCTCCAAGATTGCTATTACCTTTGGTAGGGTAGCTGTAGTAACAACACCAGGTGACAGCTGAAAATATGTTCTAGGTATTTAGTCTACTCTTTTGATGAGAAAAGCAAGCTCTGAAAGTTAGCTCCTGCCACATACAGTCTCTTGACCCTCAGATGTTGGAAGCAGATGTATTGGTTTTTGCAAACTTCTTATGACTGGTAATGACAGATGTTGTCAGGATGCAGAGTATTTCCAGGAAACCTGTTTTATTAGGGTGGCGTTGTATATTGTCATGTTAAACTGCATACTTGTGTTCCATGTGATATAAAATCAGGCTTCAAATTACTGTTTGGACAGTTGGTGTTTGTTTAATGCTTGTAAATTACACAGATGAACCATTTTTCTTGCTGCAACTTGCATTGCTTTTCTTCAGTTGAAAAACAAATCATCTCAAGAGATAGCTGATTCTTTGTGAGGCTTTCTTCATAGATTCAGAGTTTATGGAGAAATACAGTTCTGATTTTTTCCCAGATGGTTCCCCACTTCACCCCCCAGCTAATTTACTTCAAAAGTAACTGGCCAACATCAACTTGTGCTCCAATTTCTATATTGCCTTAACAAGGAGATCAAAAACATATATTTATCTCTTCATTGATAATCATGCATGATTTCTTATTTCAGATCTAAAGCTGTTTTTTTCCTTATAACTTTGTCTCAAAAAAAAAATATGAGAATTTCTACAATGACTTTTTGTGTTTGTCATTTTTAGGCTCCAGTATTAAAATTCTTGAAGATCAATTTGATGAACTAATAGTAGAGACGACAACAAAGCGTAAACAGTGGCCTAAAAAGATACTGATGCATGCTATCCAAGCCATGAAAGCGGAGCAGGAGATGTTGGTGAGTAACGTAAAATTTTTCAGAAAACCTTTGCATATAGTAGCTGCTGATCACATGTAACTTGAAGAAATAAATCACCCAATGCTGATCTTTAAGCTCCTTCCCATAGTTGCTTTTGATTCTTTGTCATATGATGAAATTGGCTTTTTGCATTAATTGGTTCTTCAGTAAAATTAGGGTTACTACAAAGTGGTGTGACTGTGAGTGAATTGGGCCTGTGGCACAGTTCAGCAAGTCACTTAAGCAGATTGCTTCAACATGGTGACTCATGATTTACAAGTCTGTATACACCTATTTTGTCAAATCTGGTTTTCTGCAATCCTTGGCTGAAGGCTAGTTGAAATACTAAATGTTATGATATGTACAGATAGATATTATCATGTGCAGTATATGACTGTTAAAAAGATGTCTGTGTTTTCCGAAGTACTTTTGTTGAGCTAATAACTATTGAGTAAGTATTTTCAGTAAAGAAAAAAAAAGTGGATTCAAGAATAGGTAATTTCTCTGGTTTTTTGACTTTGAGTGTAAAGTAATCACTGGCATTAAACAACCCAGTCTTGTTCTTGGTTGCTAAATTTCTTTCCTGCAGTTAGATTAGGTCTGCCTTTTGCTTACCTGCTGGTTAATTAGAGGTCAATTTTCTTTGGGGGGAAAAAAAGGACAAGAAGCAATGGGCACAAGTGGAAATACAGGAAATTCTATTTAACCATTAAAAACAAAAAAAACCTGTGAGGACAGGCAAACGCTGACACAGGTTGCCCAGCGAGACTGTGGAGTCTCTATCCTTGGAGATACTCAAAACCTGACTGGATGAGGCCCTGAGCAACCTCCTGTAGTTGGCCCTGCTTTCAGAAGGGACTTGGACTAGACCATCTTTCCAACCTCAGCTATTTTATGATTCTGTACTAAAGAAGACAGAGATTATTTTTTTTTAGGAAGTCATTTAAGAGCCTGCACTGCTTCTCTGAGGACTAAAATTGACAAAAGTAACTCACTCTCTAGGTTAGCCAGGCATAGATGATTTACAGTAAGTAAAAGCACATGGGTATATATTTATCGTAAATCTGAGATACAATCTTACACTTACTGCCTTTTATGATCTTTATGTTTTGTCAATATATGAAGTATGTAAAACAAACAAATCAACTAAAATAAAATACGCTATTGTGTAACACGAAGATTTAACAAGACCTTTTATTTTTCCACAAAAAACCCCATGTTCTACCTGAGTCCCAAAGTGGATTAGTTATTTAGAATACCCCTCACACTACCTTTTTTTTCTGTTGCTAATATCTTCGAATTTTACACCACCACCACTAGATGATTTTTTTTAATTAAAAATGTCTGCAAAATATAGAAAGTTTTTAGTTTATCTCTGTAAATGAAGTGGCTATTTTTTTTCCCCTCTCAGCTACTTCTGCTAGTTGTTTCTCTGCTTTTGGTTTAGGAATTTTTATGTTCTTTTTTGATCCTAGTTACTCCTGTGATGTGTGTTTTCTGAGGCATAAAGAACAACTGTCAAGATGCAGTATTTAACTGCATCTGGAGAGAACTGTTCATTTAGTGTGGTGATCTCCCTATAACTGCCAAAGCAAGAGATCATCCCGTAGGTTTTCAGTCAATACGTTCTGTTATGTTTGAGGATAATGCAAGCAATGTTTGTTCTTCTGCTTGGAGCTGTTCCTGTAAACTTGCTAACAAGATGTGTGAACTGTGAAAAATTTGCTCTGGTAAAACTACAGGGAGGAATAATTAACTTTCCTCCTACTTGCTTTTGGTTAAGAAGGTTGAGGGACAGCTCCTGAAGTGGAGAAAAATACTGACTTGCAGATGGTATAACTTACATTCCCATGTCTTTGCTTTGTTTCCTTCTTCCGTGGTAGTTACTTGTAATTCCACCTATAATATAACTAAGTATTAGTTGTATTCATTATTTATTATTAGTTAACTTCATGTCACAATTAACCAATGTCAAGTTGCAAGACTCACAGTAGGACCAAAAAGCCAGAGAGCCTGGTTTGTGAAGGAGAGTGTTCTTATTTATGCATAAGTATTGCAAAGCTAGAATGTAGTCATTTAAATAGTTTTCTTTTTCTTAACTTTTTGTCTTAATGTACCCTTTGTTCAAGTTTGCTTTTCTGTGAAAGCGTACTGTTTTTGTGAATGGCTCCTTAGAAGCCAGAGCAGCTCTTTTTCCTCAGTTGTGCAGCGGGTGGCAATGCTTCTTCCAAAATGTCTGGATTTCAGTTTGGTTCTCATGCTTTAATAATTAGAATTCTGCAAACTAAAGCAGATTTTGGAGACGTGTTCCCAATGAGCTTAACTGTTAACCAGAACACTGTTTCCAGTAAATATAAACTGTGCATCTACTACATTTTTAAAAATCTAAATAATTTCACCACCATCTCCTTGTATTAGCCTTTCTCCATTGTTCTGACTGCTATATGTATATTAGATGTCTATTAAACCAAGAGGGTATTTCAGAATTATTTTTTTTTTCCAATATGCAGAAGCTCTACCAGCCTGTTGTAACACCAGAAGAGATAAGATCACAGCCTTCTCAAGGTAAAGATTTGGTGGGGAGGGCAACTGTGCTAAGGAAGCACTGCCTACCTTACTGGCTAGCTGTAAGAAGCTTTCTTTAAACTTGTTTAAAATTGACTGTTTAAATAATTAACTAAAATAGCTACAAGCTTGTCATAACTGAAAGTATTCCTGCATCAGTTTATTGTACCTGTTTCTCTTGTTCTAAGTGCTGTCTGCTGTTAGGCACTGTTCTTGGCTGTGTGGGTATTGGGTAGAAATTGTCACAGAGCTGCCCTCAATAGGTTTTCTTACTTCTTTCCTTCACCTCTGGTGGAGGCCAGATGGGGAACTAGATGGATCGCTGACATTATACTTTGACCGTTCTTGTGTTCCTTTTACATGAATACTAGAAATGCTTCAGTCTCTCTTCCTAATCAGTCAGTTTCTTCAGGGAATTGAAAGCAGTTGTGTAGTACTCAGTGATGGCAATGTTGACTCTCCTAACTTGCAAAGCATGCGTCAGATTTTATCCTGCCTGTGACATTTGTAAGGGTTGGTTTAGAAGCAAAACTGCAAACAACATTGTGAGTTTGCTATATGCTTTTGAAAGGTTATTCCTTATACAAACTCCTTGGAACAAGGCAGTGTATTTTGCAGTTGATGATTGGGATGTGCTTTTTTTGAGGCTGGCCTTAAGAAATGAAAAGTTTTGTCTTCCCTGTTCTTAAGTATTGAAAAATGACAGAATTTACCAATGCTGTTTTAAGTTGAAAAGCATGGTTACAGAACCCCCACTATGGATTACTGCACATAATATAAAGCTGTTATAGCAAACAGTGGTGGTAAAGTTTGAGAAGCAGAGCTTAATCTTCTAGTTCTCACCCTGCTATCTGCCTTCTACTCTAAGCATCATTTCCTCTTTGTAAACAGGAGTTGTTGCTTCCAGAAATGCCAGCCTGTGCAGCAAAGCAGCTAACAGGAGTAGTAAAGAGTGTCGCTTCATATCTGGGTTTCTTTTGGTTTCTAGAGTCCAGATCTGTGCTTTTTTCATGTGAATTAACTACTACTTGTAAATTAGTAACAGCTTGCACTAAGGTATTGCCTTTTTAGGTTTGGTAACAGTAAAGTCCTAGCCAAGATAGCATAGAGTTTGTGCTGAATTTTAGTATTCTGTAGTCTTTGGGAAGTTTATGTATCCCAGTTTAGCAAGTACAGTGGCCAGAAACCAAAAATGTTTAGATTACTCAATACCTTTCGTTTCCTTTTTTCGTTTCCCTATGTTTTGGAAAGCCTTGAACACTGAGGAATATAATGCTGTCCATGTCAAGCTGAACTCCTGCAGGCAAATTTCATTTAACTGTGTGTCAGTCTTTCTGTATAACTGGAATAATCCAAATAATTACTTTTACTTAACTCCTTCCTTACCGTTTCATAGGATCACCAGTCTTCTAATCCCAGTACTCTACTGTAAGAATATTTCATTATGGTGATGTCCTTCTTTTAGAGAATGTCCATTCATAAATACTCTGTGGTGTACTTAGAGGCTGCTGTTTGACTGTTTTTCCTTCCAAACTCTGAATGACAGTGCATTGTAGCATCCATGTTCATACATGGATTATGCCTTCCAAAACCATGTCTGATCAGCACATTGGCCGTGCGGACAGACAATTTAACAAAACACCCTCTCTTGCTGCTTACTGCGTTTCAGCAGGGGATCGCTGTCATCCTGTGCTAGAGTACAGTGATTGACTTAAATTATCTTTGGTAGCACTAATGAAGTCACTAATGAGATTGACTTCAAAGCAGAATGTCATGTTTAACCCTCAAAGAGTTTAGGGGGGTGTGCACCATCTAATGTCGTATCCTACTGCAGGCACTGGTGAAAGCCTACAGAAAAATAATAGTAGTGGAGGTGAGCCTGCTTAGTTCCCAGGAGCACACTTGCTTATCTGCTGGTTTTAAATTTTTGTTGATGGCCTAGCATTGCAGACTGAATAATGGCAGAGAACACACGAATCAGGCTTATAATAACTGAAAGAGTTTTAACTCTTGAGTAAAGAATTATTATCGCTTGTAAATCAATTGTCAAAAACATATATTGTGCTGATGATCTTATCATATTGCTACTGCAATCAAATATATGCCATTTTGCCCCCAGTATTCTGTACCTCCTGTCTGCTTTAGTGTTCCTGAAAGCTTCTTTTTCTTTCTTTTCTTATTAACCCAGCAGAACTAATGCAGGTCATGTTGTTTATGCTTGGTTCTTTTTCATTCTTGGTGTTAATGCTTGGCACATTAAGCTAGGAGAAAAATGTAGCCTTTATTGCAAAAGCTGACTTGTTGGAGCTGTAAGGTTATTTTTTCCTCTCCTTAAAATGAGTTTCCTTCATCTTATTTTCTCCACAGTTGTGTTTATTCTTCTTCTTTCATGCGTTTTTTTCACATGTAATATGAGCTTGAAGGGTTTGAAAACAGGTTTGGTTTTTTTTTTTTTTTCTTCTTTATAACTGTTCTCTTCCTTTATGTCAAATACTGTCTTTGTGTCTCATGTTTTGTATAAGCTGTAGGTTTTCTAGGGAAGAACTTTGTGGCTTGCCATAGTTGAGACTGCTAGACACTACTACATTTTGAGTGATAAAGAATAATAGTAAGATAAAACATATAAGCTGTCATCCTCAATGCTATAATGAAAGGGATGTGTTATAGGTTTAAGTTTTATTCAGGGACTCTACTTCTCTTCTGTCGCAATTTCTAAGAAGCCAATAGCAAGTATTGAGGGGAGGGAGTTAACGTTTCAGAAGTTTATTTGTGCTTTATGTTTTTCTGTAGATGCTTACATCACACATCTGAAGCAGGTGACAGAAATGGCATCCAAACAGATCAGTGGAGCAATGAAGGTGAGATCTCTGCATACTCCCAAGAGGATAATTTTTTTTATTTTCTGATTTTGATCTGATAATATGTCACAAGGCAGGAGTTCTCACTCACCTTGGTTATGGTTTTGTACAAAAAAGCCTGCATGTGTACTTTTGAAGCAAGTGCATCTTTAGATTGGGACTGCTGGAGTTGAATCTGTAAAGCATTCCCCCTCACATGGTAGTAAGGAAGATTACCCTGTGGCTACAGGAAATATCTTTGACAGAGATTTTAGAACTGCAGCATCCAAAAAAAAACGCCATCTTTGGAAGACCTATATTACTTCAGTACCACCTTAGACATGAACTGTGGTGTTCCTGTAATACTAACTCAGCTTAAGAGATGTAATGAAGGAGCATTTAAACTTGGCATACTCTTTGCATGGCCTCTGAGAGCAGACCCTTGTCACTGTTAGGCTGGTAGCTCCGACTTCCCGCCCTTCACCTGCCATCCTAAGGATCATCTCTGCAGACACTGAAGCTTTTGTGCCTGTCAGAATCTAATTAACATATTTCCTTCATTGTAACCATTACTTTTCCCATGTAACTTGAGATACTTGGGTTTGTTTTTGCAGTCTCTCCCAGCACTAATAGAAAGAGCAGAAGGTTTTTCCCAAGCGTTAAGTTGGCAACCAACCTTGGAACTCTGCAAGCTGCGGCAAGAAGTCTTTGCTGGTTGCAAGGCAAAGGATGAAAATAACGTCCAAAATTTCGTGTCACCAGGAGAAGTCACACCAACAGATGCTGATACCAGCAACAATCCTTATGTTTTGCTAAAAAGAAAAAAACCTACAAGTTCACCAGAAAGAAGACGCTACCCGCTTCGACGGAGGAAAATTATTCTCAGCACATGAATTTCTCATTTAGTATTTTCAGATTGGAAACTCAGTTGTACTCTTACTCAGTGTGCTCAGTTGTCTTAAACCTTTGACTCCCCTCCAATTCAGTGCTATATGTGGGAGCTTTCTTAATTATTTAGTCTTTGATCCTTTTAAATATTTATATTTTTACTGTTACACTGATGGGTGTATGAAAGCCTATGCATACCAGTAGCATCTGATATCCAACAAGTGTATTTGCCAATTAACTCTCATTTTTTGCTCTTTTATTACAGCATTTAGCTTGAGTCTTCATGCTTCTCAGTTGTGCACGTGCTTTATGTATGCAGGCAGTCTTTCAGTAAACCACTAAGCGCTCATTTACATTAAGCATGTCTCTAAAGAGGTTGGAGAACATCTAATTCTCCTAATGCACCTTCATTTATTACTGAGTCGGGCAGCTGGGGTTTTTAATAAATAAATTAAAAAGAAATTCATACTGGAGCATATTGGAAACAGCGGATTTGATACGATGTTACAAGTTTTAGAAAATTCACATGGAAATGTGACATTGGTCCCTGCTATTCCACTTTTCTTGAATTGATGTCAGCTGGGCTTATTTATAGTCGTGTTTGTTTAAACTTGGAATTTTAGTAACTGTACGTATTTACCTACAATGTGCTCTTCTGAACAAGGATGCAACCATCCACGTCTTACCATCTGATATTTCGTTTCATGTAATCCAATTATGCAGTCTGGGGGTTTCCTGGACAATATTTCTACACATTACAGGATCTTGACTTGGGTCATGCATGTGTTTGTGATGTTTGACTAAACTTTAAAGATCAGTATAGGCTACCAGTAAATGGTGTTAAGTTGAGCTAGCTTACTTTTTTTCTTTTTCTTTACAGACTAGTACCTGGAGGATTGCACAGCACTACTAAATGGAGCATTGTGCCTTAACCATTCATAACTTTTTTTGGTTTATGATTGCATGTGCTTGCAGTAAATACTCATGTCTAATATGTAGTGTATTTCTCACACAGTAAATGGAAGGGGTTTTTAGAAGCTTTATTAATGAAATGTACTGTGGTAAGAAGATAGGTCCAACTTAATGTCTAAGAGACTGAAAAATTTCAAGAAAACATGACAGATTTTAGCATCGTTTATTTTGTAAAGGTGAGCATCTATACTGAGACTTTGTATATTTAATCATATGTAAATATTTGTTTCCCATTGCTTTTGTATATACAAATGTGTGTTTTTATACAAAGTAAATTAAATCAATTAAGGAAGATCAAAGTTTCAGATAATGTTGTCAGTTCAAATCCTGGAATAGATGGTGACTGAGCAGTGAGTGTACTTCAGAAGACATCTGTGTTAAATTTTGGCTCCAGTAACTGAAGTAGTTCCATTTACTGCCTTTGAACTCACAACTGTTATTAATCTCAGGGCTACAAAGCATCTAATGTTAAGAGAGGACAGGATGTGAGAGGGACTGGAGCTGTGAAGCTGTGGAACGTGTGACTGGGACGGTTTTTCACACAGCCACTTGCTATTCTACCTGCTTTGGGTACGCCTGCTCCATGCTGCACTGAAAATCCCCACCGTGGCTTTCTCCCCCAACATCCACAGATGGTCTGTAATCTGAGTGTTCCTAGACTAAGATGAGCCCTGCAAGATTTTGCATGGCTACCACTATAGTATTTGAATATTTTCTATGTTAAGGGGAAGATACCCCACTCTTCTCTGCGAATAATGACAGGCAAGTACAGAAAACAGCTAGGAATAGGCACTTCTCTCAAGAGGTGCCATCAAAACTGGCCAAGGTAGGACAAATGCCTTAAGAAATAAGGAGGGAGAGCACTGTGAATTAAGACTTAATAAGTGAATTAATGAATTCACCCTATGGCACATGTTGGAGTTAAGAGATCGCAGGATAGTTGGTCCGCGCGGGATTTGAAGGAAGAGGGAGTGCATGCCCTGTGCGAGAGCAGTTGGGCCTTGTTCCGCAGCCCTTGTTTCAGCCGCAGCTGGCTGGGAAAAAAAATGCATCTGGAAATGCTGGCCAAATAAATAGTGTAAAGAAGGATAAAGAAAACTATGAATAAAGATTCCAAGTGCACCATATAAACTATGAATTTACAAATCTCTGGTCGCCACTTTCAGCCAAGCAGCAATGGAAGGTATCAGAGGACCTCTCTTTAAAAGTTCTGCGATGAGCTCAACACTTCAATGTTCAGCTGTTTTTCAAATGATTATTAAAAATTCCTGGAGCAAGTGATACCTGCCACTAGCTATGCCTGAGATCTGTTCTTCCCACTGGCAGAAATACATAAAATACTTCATTTTTTCCCCCCATTCCAGTAGACTTTTGTCCTTCAGTTAACTTTTCATAGAAATCAGCAGTGTTGTGCAAGACAAGTGTCTAACCAGGCTTCTGCTGAAATGTCACAACATCCAAACTTCTTATTTTTAACTTGGGGGGGAATTGGTATTGCATCAAGAAATGTCTGGTAGTTTTTCTTTATATAGCCTTTGAATTTTGTAAGACAGCTCAATGGTGATGGATGCTTGGGAACATTTGCAAAACGAGTTTGAATTTCTTGGCTTCTTGGGGTGAGATGGAACATCTCGCTGTTTGTTAGCATGTACTGTCAGCGGCGTGCTTATCACTCATGAGGGTGGGCCATCCCATCGCAAGAAAAACTTGCAAATGGGAGCAGTGTCCACGCACACTTTTGCTGTGTGTAGTTTCTGAACAAAGGGGATTACAAACAGCGTGCGGGAAAGCTCTTCCAGAAATCTTCACGTGGGCACTGACCTCTGTTTGGAAGCTTGGGCGCACTGGTGCTCTGAAACCCGGTTCTGATACAAGTTGTTCTTCAGAAGAGCTGTGCTAAGCTGTGTTCAGCACCTCTGGTCTGCGTGTGTGTAGGCTGCTTCAGTGCAGACAAAAATCACTGATAAACTGCCATTATAAAACATAAACCCAGCTGACGAGACTGCTTTCTGGGCTTGTTTTCTCTCCTGCATAGAAATGCTCTGCCTCTACTGCTGCGTTACCTGGAATTACTGTGTAGGCATTTCTTCAGATGTACCAGAGATAGCTTTAATACTAAGCAGAAACTTGTTCCCACAAGCAAATTTTGACTTTTCATTTCCTTTGCCACTTTGAACAACAGCAGACTGTACTCAGGCTCAAGGGGACTGTCCCGTGACTTCTCCCATACTTGTGGGATCCTGGAAACCATACTCTGCAGCTGCCGGGAGTTATTCAATGACGTAGATATATTTTTCAGTACTAAAAAATTCTTGGTAAGCTGCTCAGGACTTGATGCTGTTAGCCTGCCTGTGCAGTTGCCATTAGCGTCGCTCCTGGAAAAGCACAAGAGTTTCATGCGGGGTCAGTTCAAAGTCCCTCTGTGGAAGGGGGCTTGCTTTCCTGCAAATCACTCTGAAGGGCTGTTGAGGTATTTTGTCCGCGTGGTTCATAGATTTTTATTGCAAGAAAATACACCTGTTCTCTGAGCTTATGAAAATACTAGCTTCTAGTATTATGTTTATGTCAACTGTGCTTAAGCTGCAAAGGCAGCAAGTCCGGTGCTCTCTTTTTAAGCAACTGTCCCGACTAAGTTTCCACTCGTGCCCGTATTTTTACTCCTGTAACTTCATGAGGTGTAGTTAATGCAAGACTGGACCGTTTTAAAGGAGTGGTTGAGGGCACTTCACCCTCTATAACCACTCACCACCTGGAGGCTAGGACTGACTTCTGGGAGATGTTGGTTTAGATCCCCTCAGCTGGAGAACAGCACTGAACCCACACCTATACCCCCTTGGAGAGCATCCTGGTGTCGGCATGTTGGATGATGGAGGAAGGGAGAAGCAAGACTGCTTTCAAAGAAACCAGGGGGCTGTAAGATGCTCAGGAGACCAAGTGCGGTCTGGGGACACAGGGTAGGTGAAGGCACTTTGGTGAGGGGGCCCATCTGGGTTGTGGGTCCCCATGGCCATTAGGTTGGGGAAGGCTCACAGGTACTCAGTCCTCCAGAGTTGGAGGAGCTCTGAGAAAGTCCAAGAGCAAGGGTGTGGGTAGCCTGGAAGATAGAGGCACAAGCTGCTTTGAGGCGGAGCAGCTGGGGAGAAGCTCTTCCCACCGGGGAAGTCCTACTCAGGTTTTCCACTAATGCTAATGGTCCTGGAGCCTACCAGGAAACCTCGTGGCGGAGTGCAGACTTTGGTTTGACTCTTGGACTCCCAGGCAGCGTGGTTCTCATCTTCAGCGCAAACTGTTAGCCAGATCTTCCTGAAAGGATAGTCTATATTTACTCAGTTTGCAATCTTTGTAACCTCATCTTCATCTAAGCTGGATGACTCAAACTTCTGGGGAAACCAGAAAAATAGGGAAGTATCTGATTTATTAAGATACCTGGAGCTTCATGACTGACTGCCCCGCAGTTTGGGGGCACTTGCCCTCCTCGCATGGCCCCGCGTTTGCCCCTGTGAGTTGAGCACAGCCAGGAGCGCACATTAGGTACCACACACAAATACATCTACGGATGTTGTTGAAGTACCTGTCTGCGAACGCCTTCCCTTCCTTCCGTGCAGAGGGCCAAGGTAACGGTTCAATTAAACTGTAGGGAA